TGCTATCCTATCAATATGGGCCAACATTTCTAAAGAATGCTTTCAGCACCTTGTTGAATCAATGCCACGTAGAATTCAGGCAGTTCTGAAGGCGAAAGGGGGTCAAAAACCGTATTAGTATGGTGTTCCTAATAATCCTTTAAGTGAGTGTATATGAAGAGCACCTGTGGCCCCAGTTTCATCATCCCACTCACAGCTGTACATCACTTGAAGTGTGTGGATACCTGAACAGAAAGAGGAGAGAATTAGCAAACAGGTTTGATACAGTTTCATCCTCTGGGCGTCATTTTCACAGCATTTCAAACAGGCCTGTCAGCAGCTCCTCACTCTCAGCATCCTGCATGTACACTGCAGCTTTCAGGCCTTTTTAACTGTGTGACATTAAATTCACACACGAGCTGCATCACAGCACACATACTGTACAAACAGCACAAAAGGCTGATGATTTAAGTGTGTCTGATCAAAAGTGTTTCTAAACACTTTGTTTAAAAACAACTGTACCTTGATTTAAAAAAGACAAATAAACAGCCTCAGTATTGATTCCCCTGCTGAAGCCACCTATACCCACAGTGTGTCGAGTGATTTACTGGACGGTGTGACTGCGGATCAGTGTGTAAAAGCACATTAGCAGAATTCTTATTTTTCTTTTATTTTTGCTGTCATGTAATAATAAATCACTGTAAATAAAGCCATCAGCCAAACACACGCAGCCCCCGTAAGTAAAAATATGGAGTGTCGCCCTGAAACAGATAAACACGTCACACTGTCAGGGTCACTGTCATAAACATGCAGCACTTACCTCCGGTTTGGTTGAAACGCTGCTTTGCCACTTCTATGTTGTTTTCAAACGCCAGCTCATCACTCATTGCCACTTGACTCTCTGTGTTCCAGTAATCAGGCCCCTCAGACTTTGCCATCCATTCCTGAAGAGGAGTCATTTTGTGGCTGTTGCTGTCATAGTGAACAAAGGGCTCCCCGTCCACCAGCCTGACAATCATAAACTCTGGGAGGTTCCATATCCCTGATGTGCCGCTGTAGACATACTGCAGGGAGTGCGACACTGGGAAAGCAAAACACACGTTATAGTTACTGGATCAGAGTGATCACTCTTGTTTTCTGATCACTTATCCAAATTATTTTTAAAATTATTTAACACTACTATATTTATAAATGCAGGTTTTAAAGATAAATAGTAATGAGCTGCATGAGCATTTATAAATATCCATCCATCATCTACCGCTTGTCCGAACCCCGGACAAGTGGTAGATGATGGATGGATATTTATAATGCTGTAAGTGACGTCAGACGCCGGAGACTTGGCGGAAAATCTGAATGAACAGCGAGCTGAGCGAGGACAGCGAGGGGAAGTTGGAATCACTCGAAGAATACATTGACTGGTACTT